ATATTGATTTTATACTACTATTTGATTTTCTTCACTGGCGGAGTTTACATGAACTCAATTTTACCTGATTTTTTTCAGTGGCGGAGTTTACATGAACCCAATTTTACCTGTTTTTTTTTTTCTGGCGGAGTTTACAGTAAAAAAAGGTACTTGTGGCGGAGTTTACATGCGCCCGTTTTGGAATAGCTTGGCAACGCCATCTACCGCTTTAGAAATGTCACTCGTTTGTAACCGCTAGTAAGCGCAGCTGCTTACATTTTTTCGTTTTCATTACGTAAAAATTATATTTTATTTTTATTATAATTTTAACCCCGATTCAATCGTTAAAGTTATCTTATAATTATTTTATTTTATTTATTTAACATGACAGGTGGAGGCCCAATTATATAATAATACAGTATTCGGTTACATTTTGCAAAAATATACAAATGAATATCAATATACTACATAAGATCAAAAAGCGAGTGAGTGGTAAATGCTCTGTTGTTCATTAAGTTTACAATGGCCAATTAATGTAAATTTGAATTTAATGATATAAAAATAAACTGTATTAAAATAACTATTTCGATTTGTAATAGTACTAAAGTATATTTGATATGATATTTTGTGATAAAAGAAGTTAATATTTAACAAATATACATTAGTAAATATAATAGGTTAAATTTATATTCACCAAAAAAATTACATTTGAAAATTTCACTATGTGTGTAAAATATTATCATATTATACTCTAAAACCTTCATATTATACTGCTATTTATGAAAGTCCTAAATTTGAAATCTAAACTTTGTTATGCAAATTGTACATTTTATAATTTGTTAACTATACAGAATGATTTGCAAATTGTTGAAATTTTGATAAATTTTGTCAAAATTTGAGTTTAAAATACTTAAAAAAATTGTGCCTGTGAATACATAATATTTCTCAAAAACTCATAAATTGCAGCTTCATTTAAAACTTCTTCGACAGCTACCGGTTTATTTGGGTCTTTAGGTCTACGTATACTATCCAGAGTGATTTGCTTTGGAAATAAGCTAGAAGGGGGACTCGGCGGATGTTGGATGGAAGAGCGTTCTACACAAAATTAACCATCACATTACCGTAGGGGCTTCGCCCCCCCACGCCCCCCATCAACAACAATCTCACAAAGACAATGTTAAATTTGTTTTACAAATATATATTTAAAAAATGAAAACATAAAACACTTGTTTAATAATTAATTTTTATAAAACATAAGGTGGCTAATTATTATTAAACAACGTCCATAATTAATGTTGATATGAACTACCTTGCATTATAAAATGTCTTATCACTGTATTTTGTAGTTATATAGAATTGGAGATTTTTTTTTTTCATAGGTATAAAGTAAAAATATTATGGTTGTTAAGTTGTTCATCAGAAAAATTGACAACATATATTAATTCACTAATAAATGTCGCGTATCCTGCAGCTTCCCATTTCAAAAAAGTAGAAAGAATACGTTTAAAAAAAATAAATGGAAGTGCCCCTCCACCACCCAAATTAAACACTGAGTATCCGAAGCTACGACGTGATTGGAAAGTWCTTCCAGAGCTTAACCTCCCCCCAAAACAAAAAAAAATTAACCAACTTAGATTTATTTTATATAAKTTGACTCATTCAGTGTATTAATATTTAAGCCTGACACCCATAAAATTGAACGCAAACAACAAATTTCCGCTTATGAGTAGGTTATCGGATTGTCTTCTATAATCTTGACCCCAAAGTCGTGATGATGGCCACTAGCAATGAAACTCGCCAGCTAATGTTTAGAATTTTTTTAAGCGCCCAGTAATAGGATTGATTTCATATAAGGATGAACTTCCCAACAATTTATTATTGGTCAGATCTGCGTTATTGTTCTAGAACTTTGTCATTATTGACTTATCCAGATCGGGAGGTACGCCACAAAATAGTATGAGACATGGATTTTATACCACTATTAGCACTACGGTCTACGGATATTATTTAATTCACTTTTAAATTATTGTTCAATTAATTAACTGAAGACATCACGTTATCACATTATGACTGTCTTATCTAATTTTATTATTTAAAATTGGTTTTTATTGCCATATACAAAGTTAAGTAGGTGTTTGTTAATTGTTTCCATTTTCATCCTTGAAATTGAATTGTTCAAACATAATAAGTCATGTAAAAATAACAATTTTTAATAAATTATATATAATTTAAGATTTACCACCTACCTATACTCTGTTTTGTTTTAGACGTTTTAGTAGTAAGGTTTTTAGATCCTCTATTTTTTTAATCATCGTTTATCGCAATATTATAAGATACATTAATTAAAGTTTTAGGCTATTATATAATGCTTGTGATGCTAACATATTATATGTAAAGCACTTATTGTAAACGTTTTTCACAGCGCAGAAAAAAAACAAGTCACAGATGACAAAAATATTGATTACATACATTTTAAACGTTGTTATTTTTCAGCACATGCTAGTCAACATAAAATTCTTCTAGAGGTATATTTTACAAAAACATATTATTAAATTGGCTTTTTCCGTATATCACCGTCAAGAAAAAACACTAAAAATAAAAATCGTCTAACTGCAAAATAACATTATCTATCTACGGTAAAATAAACCACGACGACATATTATTAAGTACACCACACGTGGACGTCGTTAAGATAACGACGAAATGTCGATAACGCAATGCGTCTCGCGAAATAATCCATTTAATATTGATATTCGATAAAAATAAAATGTACAAAAACAAAAAAAACCAACAACATTGCTACAATGTGGTCTGTCTGGGAAAGTAGTACCACTGAAAGAATCGCCAACCCTCCAATAAATACGCCGCGTAGGTATACTACGGTTTACCCGTTCAAACCATATTTTATTTAAGACATATTTTTTATAATTTACAATTTTTCACAATAGAACGTTACACTCATTTTATACAAAACGCTAAAAACTGGGTCTGGTATTTTCCATCAAGAACCATTCAGTATGTACCTTTGTTAGGTTAGGTTAAAATAATGAAATACACTGGGCATAGGAAGCAGCACTAGGCATAATACTAGGGGTGCAAGGCGCAACTGACATTGTAGACAATTTTAACATTGTAGGAACTAGGAATGCAATATGCAAATTGAAAATAAATTGTGTTGATTAAACTACAAAATTGCGTTTGACTATCAAAGCATAATACAAGTAATAGTAGCAGTAGGTATTATGGATGAACCAAATAACTTTCCTTTTCCCACTCTACATCCTACTTACTGGGCCAAGAATAATATCAGAAGACCAAATGCCCACCCATGGCCCCATGGGCCATGACACCTGTCCTGTTTATTAATTAAAAAAATTATCGGATAGTGGTCAAAACCATAATTTTATATCCACACAACCGATTAATCAACTAACTAACCAGATATTCTTGCCCCCTGTGATGGAAATGGTTCAATAAACATTTGTCAAAAGACAAAGATAATGATATAAATTAATTAGGTTTAGGAGTATTAAATACTTAAGAATGTAACCCCCAGCTTTGGCAACCATAAGTATCAACATAGAATAACAATCAATTTATGAAATAAAAAAATGGATTTTGAATTAAACAGTTACAACAATATTTAAGATCAAAATGAAGAACAAACCACAGTCATAATATAAAAAGACTTAAATCATTTTTATTTGATATAATCATAGGTATTTCATAAAATATTTAATAACAAAATAATCATATAAATTACATTCCATATTAATTTTTTCACATATGTAAACAGAAAATATTTTTATAATAAGTATGATTTAACCTAAATTTTTTGAAATTTCAATAATACGTTTAAAACAATAACAATTCGTATATATAAGATTAAATTTCATTTAAAATAAATGTTACTTTACAAAACATTGTTTTCCTTTATAAAAATATACACATAATGTAAATACATCTACAAATTAACATTTACAAAATAAATTATAGTATTCGTATAGTATATAATCTTATTCATAATATATAAATATTAGTCAAGGTTCAATTGAGCAAGAAGTCGGTCCTTACAGGAGACTTCATATTTTTTTTTTTTATTGACAACATATTATTATGATAAATTATTATAAGGCACTTAATACAGAAAAACCTGACAGCACCAAAAAAAAAAAAAAATTGTAGTTTACGGAAGACAAACAAATTTTGAGCAATTTTTTTGAACTTAGATTTTTGGCACATACTTTAATATTGCTCCATTGAGCCATTTCAAATGAATTCAAAAGCTTTATTTGATACATCTAGCCTTGATATAGGAACTCTAACAAATAAATCTTAACATGTTAATATTATACTCATCTTTATTTATGCATATATATATTTAAATTTTTTTAGAATAATTATATAATGTAATATATATTAAAAACATCAAATTTTARATGAATGAATCTTTAATAATTTAAAATAATTTATAGTATCAAGTCTTATGAAAATGGTTTATTGCAAAGTTTTATATGGTTAATAAATAACTTTTTGCTCCAATCCTATTCTATTTAATTATTTAAATACATATCTTAATTTCTCTAAACTTCAAACAATACATTCTTAATTGATATGGTATAATATGCCTTMACAACTTATAGAACATACCTACTCCAATACAGAGTGAATCTGTACAATATTGTAGTGTCAGTTTTATATATATTTCTAATAAATTGAATTGAAAAATTGAATCATATTCATAATTTAATATATAAAAATATAAATATTTTTTTTCTTTTCTAACCATTTATATCACTTAAATTCTCAATACCATTTTAGGTATCAAAGATATTGATGTTAAACTAAACATTTCAATGAAGTGGTACTAGTATTAAATAACACTTCAAATATCCTTTCTTTCAATTCAATTCAAACAGTTACAAAGATCATCTGAAATTTTTTTTCATATTTATTGATACTTACAGTGCAAGAATAACAAGCGTAACCCATGTGAACACATAGGTAGTATTTATACTGAACTTGGAAATCTGTAGTCCTGTTTGTTCCAGTGTTGAGGGTAAGATATGTCCAAAAGAGAAGGTTCCTTTTGTTCATAAGTACACACCTTCAAATCTAATGAACAAGTCAGTCTTTGGGGTACAGGTCGCTCTACATAGCACGGTGGCCTGTAACAACACGGTGGCCAACAGTAGAACAGGGGATAATCGACGTAAGGATATCTGATAGGGCTGACATATAATGGTCGTTCATTAGACGTGACAGGAGCCAAAGATCGCCTCTTGCATGGATCAAGATCTTCTTCTTCACGTTTGCGCTTGGTCAAATCTAAGCAAGTAGTAGTAGACAAATCCAGAGCTGAGTCTTCTGTGTCTGATAAGTCTTCAACATTAACATCACTGTCTGAACCTGATGTAGTATCCACAACAGCTGCAGCAACAGCAACTGCTGTCACAGCAGCAGAAGTAGCAGCAATTTTTGAGGGTTTCGGAGCGCCAGAAGCTTGTTGCACTGCCAACCGCAGGCTGTTCTCCGTTTGCAACCATTTCTGTATCTGACGGCGGTGAATACCATACTTGCGGGCTGTGGCTCGCTGATTCCCTTGGCAATCGGAGTCTTGTCGATATGAATCCAACACCTATGAAAAACGCAAAATTAATAAAATAGTAAAAGATGATGTAGGAAGAGCACAATTTGACTGGTTTTTCAATACACGGAGAGAAGTGTATGTGGGTGGTAAAATAAGTATGTTTTGTAGTAGACGTGTCGACGTGGGAGTTTCGGTTGATGGTTAAGATTTTACGCGGCAATAGAGGCGCCTAACGCAAAGACGGACCGCCGTGGACAAAACGAGGAGGATTTATGGGAACATTGGGAACGACTGGCTGGACGACGTTAACGTGGACGGCGTCGTATTTTTATTTCGTTTTGGCATAGTACCCAAACGACGACGGCGGCGGCGGTGGCGCGAGCTCGTAATCGTAAAATTTGGTGAAATCGAACGGTCCTAATCTGCGACGGCCGGGACGGAAGAGTGTGGAGGAGCGGTGGACCGAACGGTAGAACGTGTGAAATAGTAATGTTGCGAGTGATAAACGAAAAATGAATATAATAATAAAGCGATTATGTCATAATAATAATACAAGAAAACCACAATATTTACCTGCAACTTGAACTGTGGTGGAAATATCCTTCTGGATCCGACTGGCGCCTTGGGCCGCTTTTCTTCCACCTTGCCGACGGGTTCGTCCGGAGCGCCGTGGGCCATCTTGTCCGTGAACACTGCGACGACGTTACACGTTACGAAACGATATTATAAAAATATGATATTTTAATGCGATTTATAACGTAATCGCGGCGGTTTTCGTCGTGCGTACAAAACGCAACAGTATTTTAATATAGTTTATATTATTATGTTGAAATAACGGCGACGCGTGTACCGTATTGCCGTGTTATAAATTTTACAACAATTGGAAAACGATAAATATAATTTATATAAAATATAATAACAATAATATTATTATATCGTATATCGACCGAAACAACGCACGATTAACGCAGTGACTAGCGACGACGACGTACAAAAACGATAAAACGGAGCGGTTTTATAATGTTGTTGTTATTAATATTATTATCATCGTTATTATTGTAATTACATTAATATAAATAATAGTATTAAAAACGGAAAAACAAACAAACAAATAATAACCGAGAGAGTCTGGTCGACGCTACGGACTGCGTGCGTGTGAGTGAGTGAGTGAGCGAATGCGAGTGTTCGGCGGCGGCAACAACAGCAGCAGGAGCAGAAGCAGCAGCGTTGTAGGTTTTTCGAGTAGTGTGTTGTAGTAGACGCGGTGGCGCTTGCTGGTACAAAAATCAGTGCCAAGCTGTCTGTGTGCGTGCGCACGCTCCTCATGCCGTGCGTGTGCGTGCGTGCGCGCGTGTGCGTGTGCGGCGTTGCATTCACACAAGTCACCCCCCTCTCCCCAACCGCCCGCACACCGAGCCACACAACCAAACGGTCGTCGCCACCACCACTGCCGCCCGCCTATCCCCGCTGGACGAGAACCGATTCTTGACTCGCTGCCGCCGCCGCCGCCGCCGCGGTGTGTGCGCCTCGTCGGCACGGACCATCCAGCCGTGTTGGCGACAAAATACGCGAGACTGACGAGTCGTCGCCCCCCGTCACCCCCGCGCACCGTTCGACGCCACTCCGCGTGACGGCCGCACGTTTTGGCCGCCGAGAAAATGGTGCCGCCTGGCCAAACGTCGTGCGACCCTCGACGAGAATAATAATCTCGTCGGTGACGGTGGTACTCACGTGCACTGGCAACCGGTAACCGGGTATCGTCGTCGAAGAACTCGGTGGCCAAACGACGCGGAGAAAAGGCGATGCCCCGGCGGCGGCGGCGGCGGCGGCAACTGGTTCGGCACATGAAGACTCGGCAGTCTGACGTACCGAAAGAATTCGACGGCCCGTCGGCGGATCAGATTGCCGGTCGGCCCCGCCGCGTTGCCGCGCTCCCGTGAAATCCGGTCGGCAGCGCCACACCGCCGCTCTTGCATACGGAACGATAACCGTGTCGTCGGCGGGACAACGTGTGGCCGCACCAATAGATAATAAATAACGATATAACGATGTCCGCGGCGGCGGCGGTCCCGTTCTTACCGGAAATATTATGTTTCGGCGGATTTTCACGTCCGCTTATGATATTATTGCATAATAATGTTACGTTTTCGATACACGCTATAATGTTATATTATAATAAATAACGTATGGTACATTATAGGCACTGACGTGCGTGATGCCGGAGGTTTCTTCCAGATGATTGCCCCAAGCTTGAACGTGGCCATTACGATTTTGAATTGTGAGTTTTGTCAAGTCAGGCAATCACGGTTTTTCTCATAAGCTATGATGGATCGGCGCCCGTTTAACCAACACACACGATTAATTTCTTGCACTGTACAGTCGGGGCCCACTCGGTGTCCTGGCACGTTTTAAAATACAAGATACCTCCACACCGCAGTGATGGGACGCAGTGCGACTCAGGTGTATTTCCCCAGCCCGAAATAAATACCTTTATATCCGTTAAAAATGGATTACGAGGAAAAAAATTAACAATCAAATTAGGGGAAAGGGGCTGGATAAATGCCAAATGAACCTGTCCGACTCGGTGGTCCAAACCTGGTACTTGGGGTATACGGCCCTACCTGAATTGGGTGATGGTCGTATAATAAACGTTAAATGTACAAAAATTATAACCTATAAGTTTTATCTCCTGTAAATAAATATATTTATTTTGAATTCATGCAGTCTGCAGGATCTAAAAGTTTTTGTTATATCTCGATTTGAAAAATTGTGCAGCATGCTTACTGGTTGTAAATACATCGCCGACGGCGCTATTCGTTCACAACGTTTCCTTAATGGACATCCAAGAACATCGCGACGATCGTAAATCGACGGCATCTTTCTCTATCTCACTCTCACTGTGTTCAGCCTGTCTAGGTCTCTCTCTTTTTTTACGAACGAACGAACCGTTCGCTGCACTTGTACGAACCGATTTCTATTACGTAGGTCTACGCTTTCGTCATCGTCCTACCTATACGACGGCGATCGGTTTTTGGACTGTTAATTATTTGTATTTCGATGTGTCTACCCACTTTGACCAACATACCTCGCAAACACACGATATTTGAAAACGTCATTTCGAACCAACCACATTTACGTAAAACACGTATGATGACTGCATTGCACATTTTGCAATCTTTTTGCAATATATTAATATTTAGATATCTATAGATAAAAATATAATGGACATGAGACCCATCAAAAACTCCCAACCGTGAAATAAAAATTGAAATAAACCTAATTTAAAATTGAAACTCCTCTACCACCGATTATCGCAATTCGTATGTAAATATCAAAGCACATTTTCGTATTTTGTTGTCTTTTGATGTAAATATAGAAGACCCACGTGCGTTATATACTTATATTCAATGTATAATTAAATATTTTTTACCACTGTAGTTTATATTCAACAGTTTTTTATTATGACTAGAAACGTTTAATAATTAATAAATAATTATATAATAAGATAACGGATCCACATATTATTTCAAACATCAATATACTAGGTTTTATATTTCCATCATTGTACGTAAATTTATATCATTAAAACCGCAATGTTCTTAAGAGAATTATGTTCGGCACTGTTTTTAGCTAACATATCAATAGTTGTATGATTGTGTATTAATTAATTGAACGAATTAAAATTCGATTATGCATTATTGTGGAATCATAATGTGCAGCATGTAAGTAACACTACTCTGTGCGCAATCAAATATTAAAGTATGCTTTATTATAATATAGTCGTTTAAAATGTAGACACATTAAATATAAAAATATAATACATTTGAACGGAAATAAATATAATGTGTAACACAATTAACAATTTGATTAATTCTTTATTAATATACCATTTCAATCTTTTTTTTTATTTATTACAGAAGTAATATTATATCTGTTACTTGTTGCTTAACTAACAATATGATAGAATTAAGTTTATTTAAACAAATTTATATTTTACTAAAATATTTCTTTTAAACTGTATCAGGACATTCAGATTTCAGAATCATTATGCAATTTGTAAAATTATAATCTACAGCTAAAAATTATATCATACAATTATTATAGTACTTGCATGTCTTAAGGCAACTCAGATAATATTTGGTACCAACCTTCCAATTTCATCCTGTTGAATAAAATATGACGTAGTATGCATTTCTACGGTACGAAAATATAGTATTTGAACATTGGATAGTAATTAATAAATTATCATTAATTTGTTTTATCCCAACAACTATAGTATCAGCCATCAGGACACCACCAGGTTCGATCATTAGATTCGTAGTTAAAGATCCCTTAATTATACATTTAATTAAAATGTAAATACGGAGATAATCAATATTCAAAGATAAACATACAAGAAAGTGGAATTTCTAACGAAGATTATACTTAAAAACATGTAATTTTACATCAGATTTAACACATTGCAAGGTCTTGAATCATAACATAATATAGCGAAAAAGTTTAAATAACATAATTACACAGTTTTCAGAACCGATAACATGAATGAAATAGAAAAATAGAAAAATAGAAACTCCCATGTCAAAAATGTTCAAGGAAAAATTTTATTTAATTAAAATATTATAATATTTAATTATCAGTAAATATTTATATAATTTATATTCAATAAGTTATACTACTATGGTACTATGTAGTATGGTTTATAATTGTATTGTATTGAATTATATGTCATAGGTAGTATTAATGTATTATATTTTAAATTGGAATTGTAGATTAACACAAGTAAAAACTAAAAAGTATTATTGAGGTTCAAAAGTTGATGAGAGGGCGTGAGGCTTAACTAATGTAAATTTAACAAATAGATCATAAGTCTTAAATTGCCACTGTCGTTTCGATAAAAAATTTTACATTTCAAAGGTCTTGAAAATATTTACTGGTTAAAATCATAATCGTAAGTATTCAAAATCACTTATTTATGTGCGAGCAATATCACGAATTCAGGATGATACGCAAATATCTTATTCTGATTCAAAAAATAAAATCGTAACCTTATTTTTTCTGTTGTACACTTATACCTTATATTTAATTTGAAATACTTTAAAATAAGCAAGCACGTCATGCAATTAAATAATCGATTGATAGTTTATTAATACGTAGTAATGTTTGAAAATTAGGTGACTTGATGTCATGAGCAAATTATTTTCCTAAAAAGTGTGTTAGGTGTCATGAAAATCGTGAATATTCTTGTGAGTTATATTTTTAGCACAGTGGAAAATGTAAGCAGTATATTTATAAACAGACATAGATTAATGAGTGTGGAATGACCCTTTCATTGGTATATTACACTATTTGCATGTACTTTTTTTTTTTAAACAACAACAAAGTAAATTTTGTTTTAATCATATTTTATTTAATGCCAGTGTATTTATAGCGTGTTCCCATACTAATTACAATGTCTCGCCGTTATTAATCAGTACTATGAGCGCGGAATCAACAGAAATATAATAGTATTTCAAATAAAAATATGTAAATTTTATTATATTATAACAAATTATCATATCATATTTTAAATTGGCATAGTTGAGGAATTGCTAGACGAAGATTTTCGTGAACAAATACGGGGGTATTTTTAGATTTAAGATACCGTTTGGTTTTATTTTTACTCGTCAATATTATTAAATTCGTCAATAATGATTTATAAACGAATCAATTCTATTTTAATTTGGCAACGGGCAGTGGGCACGGTCAGAACGAAACAGGGAGTTTGTAAAATCGGCGTAAACAAAAATAAAATTCGAAACCGATGACTGTGGCCGTCCACTATACGGATGTGCCATGTCCCATGTATAAATAACAAGATTACGATTCTTCAGGTATTTCTGAGGAAAAAAGAAACGTAAAGCCAATAATCCAACATTAATAATAATATATTATATTATTTTATTGTCGTCCGGTCATACCTATAATATAATAATAATAGTCCCAACACTGGGGGATATACCATCCTCTCGTATTAAATCAGTTTCCTTTGTCCCGACTGTTCCGTTTCCAAATAATAATAATAAAATATTATATTCTATTCTCGACGTATATAATATATTATTATTATTTTCGACGTTGCAATGCCCGGCAATGGTGACACATTTTTGTTATTATAACATAACCCGCCAAAAACGGATAACGCATGAAAAAGCACGTTCGGACGGACGTCCGAGTGCGGCGGGACGAAATATCGCGTGCTGGGGACAAAAGGGGTCGAAAAACGTGGAAAAATACCAAGAATCGTGTACGGGTAAATGGTGTGTTAGCTGCCATTACGGAAAACCACCCGCCGAGCCGTATTTT